TTGATTGAAAGAATCATTCATTCAAAGTATTTATTTAGGTTGAATAAAGCTACTTAATTTACTTCTAACAACAAGAAGTAACTTTTTTTAGGTTGAATTGATGATCCATTTTTTACAGTGTGAGAATACTTAACAACTCACACATTTGGAGTGTTTGATGATTTAGGCATACAGTTAGCATGAGGCTAACCTAATGGCTAAGCTTCGAGTACTTGTTAACTACTTAAGCCTTTCAGCCTGCTGGAAAAACCAGGATAGACAAGCATGAATTCCATGCTGGTGTAAGCTGGTTACCTGGTGACCTAGAATACCAGCATCCAAGACGCAACATATCGCTGTTGTAGGAACAAAACCTCGTATCTCCAAAATGGTAACTTTACAGGAAAACAAACTTTACTTTTAATGTAAGTCAATGGAACCAGACTTTTTTCCAAGTCATTTTGGGCTGCTTCTTTTGGTCCATTCATCATGAAATTTACACACAATGTAAAGGGCAAGAGGTATTCACAAATGATGTCAAAAACTGAATAATGGAGATACAAGGTTTTGTTCCGACAGCAGTGATATGCTAGTTTTTCCTAGCTACAGAGCAAAACTACAGAACCAAAACTCACCAAAATGTCTTGGCTGATCATTTGAAACAAGGTGTTTATTTCACTTTTGTGGCAAACTATTGCTTTAATGTTGAAACAGCACCATTAACTCCCCATGAGCAGCAGAAGACATGATAAACAGCCAGTAAAATACTTCACGCTGTATGTTTGTGGTTGTTTAACTACACACTAAGAACTGTCTGGCCTGATGCCTGAGGCTGGCTGCACAAGCTGTGTGTTAAATTCAAATATAGGCTAGTTATAACGTAAATATTTCAGGTACACACACCAAATCAAAACAGGTTGCACCACACAAACTAGTTTTTACTTTGAGCTTAGTAGTTACAACATATTTACACCTTCCCCAACAAGTGTTGTTGGTGAACCCAACGTTAATCAGATAGCATGAATAAGACAAAAACATGATCCAAGGCCAACTGCCCTTATAGAAAAAACAAGCAGCAAAGGCCAGCATAGCTGGTCACCAGCAAAACCAGCATATGTTAAGTTTTGGATGTTGGTCTGCTGGTCAGCAGCAATGGAAGTTAATATGCTAATCACCAGCAAAACCAGCAAATGTTGTGTTTTGGATGCTGGTTTAGATGGTCACCCAGCATGGTCATGCTGAGACCAGCATAAACCAGCTTAGACCTGTGTGGACTTCATGGTCATGCTGCTTGACCAACATCGCCGCTGTCTGAACAAAACCTCGGATCTCCATTTTTGCAGATTTCCTGTTTTGGACATAACTTGAAAATGCCTGTTGTCTTTTACAATTTTTGTAAATTTCATGATGAATGGACCAAAATAAACAGCCCAAAATTACGCCAGGTTCCATTGACTTACATTAAAAGTAGAGTATGTTTTTTCCTTCTCCTGTAAAGTTACAATTTTAGAGATACAAGCTTTTGTTCCAACAATAGCGATATACTGGTTTTGCTGGTGACCAGCTATTTTTGCTTTCAGCTCCAAATAATGTTCTTTTAACTTCTAACTCCAAACATGAATCAAACATCCATTGCTCTAGTTCAGTGAGAACACAGCTAACATCCACAGTTCTGGATCTCACTCGGCAGACTTGGCAGATTCCAAAATGTCTAGACTGATCCAACTGTTGCGTCGATTTCACAGAAATCTTCGTTTAAAGAAAATATTGGTGTCATGAGGAAACACAAAAAAAACAACAAATAAGCAAACTGGCTACAGGTTCAATTGTAGAAACATTAAACTTGTTCACATCTTTCTGTCCTGGATAATGTTTCCCATGGAATGCAAAAAGCCAGCGCTAGCTGCCATCCGTGTTCATGACGCGTGTTCGTTAACTGGTTCTGAACGTCATTGTCATGTTCAAATGATGCTGTGTATGCATTAGTTAGTTATTAGTTAAAAGGGAATTCCACCAATATATTTTTACATTTCTGCAAAAGTAAATTAAGTGATTCAGAGTGGTGACGTAGACGTGAAATACACCGTTCCCGAAAAACTTAACGAGTCATAATTGTTCACAGTGGTTGTGATAGGAAACAGATGTCCAAAGAGTTTAATCCCTTTAAAATGTATGTTATTACAAGAAATGGTTACACATACATTTCACAATATTAAAAAAAGCTTCTGGCCTAAAACTTACTTTTTTAAACATTTAAGGCAGAGAGGTACATACAGGCCGTTATAAGGCAAGATATTCCTCAAGGAAGACTATTTTGTTGTTGTTTGGATTTACCACCATTTTGCCATAATCAATATTATATATAAAAGCTCAGAAAACAAGTGTAGGTTGGTGGTTTTGAAAAGCAAATAAAATGACTATATTTGTGTTGCAGACATGGTGACTCCTGGTTCCTGTCACCACCACTGGAAAGAGATCAGAGTCTGTAAATTCCTCAGCAATGTATCGTTTCATAACAGACCACACTGAATGACTCTGTTTACATCTCAACTGTTGAATTTTGCAGATTAAAAAAAAATCCTTTCCATTTAAGGCGTTGCTTATGGATTGGTGGTGCAACTGAATTTAATAAAAGGACTGTATTACATTTGGCAGACGCACTTATCCAGAGCTACATTTTACACAGGTAGTGTTGGGAGTCTTGCCCAAGGACTCTTATCAGTGTAGGGCAAGGTGATTACCCAGGTGGGGGATTGAACTGCAGTCTTCAGTGTAGAAGGCAGAGGTGTTACCTAGTACACTATACCAACCACATGCAATCACTTTAATGCTAGTTAGTATGACACTAACATTAAGCACTTACCTGGCATTAAAGACAAATGCACAAACTTAAGTATAAACATACCGTTAGCATCCTGAGCCTGTACAAGACCCATTGCTCCATGCTCCATTCTGGCTATGTTACCTTGTCTGCCCAGAACGAATGCACAGAGGGACGTAACTCACTCGTTCTCATTCTCATTCTGAGTGCCAAAGTGCATTTCTAAACTAAACCGGCTGCGTAGAGAGTAGAGACTCGCCCTTTAATGATGTTTGTTCTGAAACAGTTTGCACTAGATGTTGTATTGGTGGGGTGCCAAAAGCTCTTCTCGATAGCACTTCTCCTAACGAGAGCTTTTCTCTCAGTGATGCTCCTCAATCCTATAAAAACTGTTTGGAAAAGGCACCGCTGCATATTTCAGCATGCTAGAATACAGAACCAGTGTTTTGACAGTAAGGTGTTTTCATGGCTCAGACTACAAAGGCTTTCACCGCTCAAAGCAACTGCTGAGGCAAGTACATGTAGGCTACTATTGAAAATATGAATGGCAAGCATGTTGGAAACCAAAATGTTCATTTTGTCACATCCGTGCCTCTGCGTAGGCTCGGGCATGCTCAGGCCTATGTCTCACGAGTCTAAACAATAGGTTTAAAATGACTAAATTACATGAACATCTGTTATTATAATTGTGTTTTCCTGCACGCCAAGGCTGGCACACATTCACACTATTTAAAGATGAAAGAGTGCTAAAGATACTAACTTCAGACGCAAACGCACAGAAGCAGACTTGGCATGAGCCGCACAGCTTCAGGCCCAGTCATCTCTCTCTGACCTCACGCTTCCAGCTATGCAGATAGATGTAGCTAGAACAGAGGAAGGTCTTCAGATATGTTACTAACCCCTCGACATACAGGCGTACAAGCATACAGGCAGACGTTCATCCTGCAGACTCTTTAACATAACATGCTCTTTATTCTTCTTAAACCTGCATTTCGTCTGTGTTTATGGAACCTTTCACCCTAACATTTCCCCATAATGAAGAAAACATACCGTATTCCCTCTTTACAGAATCCCTGAAAACTCTTTAGACATCTTTTTTCCTGCACTCAGAGATCTCAGAGTTTCATTTCACTGAAAAAAACATGGGGCTGATTAAAATGTGGAACACTTAGAAGTGAAAAAGAAGCGCATGTAAAACAAAAACATCCTGGATTAGAGGATGGAGCAAACAAGTGAGTAACGTCTGATGAGGGGAGTGAGAGAGAGAGAGAGAGAGAGACAGAGAGTGTGTGTGTGTGTGTGAGAGAGAGAGAGAGAGAGAGAGAGAGAGAGAGAAGGGGAGAAGGCAGAAATAGAGAGCACAGACAAGAGTAAAAGAAAGAGTGTTAGAGAGAGTGTGTGTTTGTGTTGTGTGTGTGTGAGAGAGAGAAGCAGAGAGAGGCAGACAGAAAGAGAACAGCTAGAAAGGGAGAGAGAGGGGGGAGAAGGCAGAGAGAGAGAAGAGCTAGAAAGGAAGAGAGAGAGCTAGAAAGAGAGAGAGAGGAAGAAGGAGAGATAAAAGAAAGAAAGAAAGAAAGAAAGTGGGTGGGGGAGAGAGAGGCAGAGAGGGGTGAGGGGGAGAGAGAGAGAGGGGGAGGGAGAGAGAGACACCGACAGGCAGAAGAGAGAGAGACAGACAAGAGAAGGTGAAAGAAAGGAGTAAAGAAAATAAGAAAGAAAGAATGTGTGTATGAGAGAGAGAGCGAGAAAGAGAGAAAAAGAAAGAGCACAGACAAAAGAAAGAGAGAGAGAGAAGAAGGAGAGGGAGCATAGAAAGAAAGAAAGTAAGTAAGAAAGAAAGAAAGAGTGTGTTGGGTGGTAGAGAGAGAGACGGGGGGAGAGAGGCAGAAGAGAGAGCTCAGACAAGAGAAGGTGAAAGAAAGAAGTAAAGAAAGAAAATAAGAAAGAAAGAATGTAATGTGTGTATGAAAGAGAGGGAAAAGAAAGAGAGCACAGACAAGAGCGAAAGAAAGAGAGAGAGAGTGTGTGTGTGTGTGTGTGTGTGTGTGTGTGTGAGAGAGAGAGAGAGAGAGAGAGAGAGAGAGAGAGAGAGAGAGAGAGAGAGAGAGAAAAGGGGAGTGAGCGACTTTGTGTATAACTTTTTTGCCCGTGGCTTTCTGGTGGGCGGTCCTTATCTTTAAGCCACGCCCACTCCGTTTCCTAATGACGGTGTCGGTGCTACAGCTGTGCACGTGGCCGCAGTAAGGATCACAGTCTCGAAGCACCGGCTCCTCCGCAGCTGCTGTTCACTGCCCCAAACTTTACTGGCCCTCACTGCCCAGAGTTCAGCCGCGGAGCAGCGGCGCTCATGAGGATCCGAGACGGAGCTGAAACTCCTCCTCCGCACGGCGCGTGAAAAAGAAAGCAGAAGTTTTGGCGCCTAATTAAAGCGGCTGGTGCTGGTGGATTTGGTGGATGGGCAGGGGGGAAGCAGTGCTGGCTGGCATTATGGTGGACAAGGGTCCCCTACTGACCTCGGCTATTATCTTCTACCTGTCCATCGGGGCAGCGATATTCCAAGTGCTGGAGGAGCCCAACTGGAAACTTGCAGTGAATCAGTACAATCACAAGAAGGAGATGATCCTGAAAGACCACCCGTGCCTTACAAAAGAAGACCTCAACAAGATCTTGGAGGTAGGGTCACTTTGGTCACTTTTGCGCCTCCACACAAAACTCCAGAGCTCTCTCTCTCCTCAGGCGCTCACATGTTTTGTCATATAGGGTGTAGCCACCTGTGTGTAAACAACTGAAGATGCACTAAGTGTTTGGACATCCTCTGTGTTTGCTCTGTCATGTGAACAGGCCTTATGTTGCATCACACTTAGGCTTTTTTATGTAAACATTGTCCAGCTTTTCCAGCCCAGCCCTGCAAAAGTTCATAAAGTTAGAGCTGGGATACTAATCTAAGCACTTCCCAAGAGTCTCAGCATGTACATTTCCATTGTTTGAATACTCAGATGTTACTTTTACAGGTTTTTCTTTACTTTTTTCACACTTCACTTGTGAGAAAATGCTACTGAATGGGAACTGGAGTGCTTGGATCCCCATTCAGTAGCATGTTCTCACTCAAACAAAGTTTCAACAGGTGCATTTAGAATCCAGTAAATTATAGCCCAAATGAGCAAAGCAGCACATCATCAAAGTGCAAAACAAGGCAGTAAAGACATGCTGATACACGGTCAGCCATCCAGTGACCTACACAACAACAGCCAAGTCCAGGACTTCCTCTGACGTTCAGTGAAAGCTGCAGTTCTTCAGCTGCAGCTCTTCTTTATGAGATTAAGCAGAATTGCTAGAGAACTTAGTTTAATCTAATGCATGTGTCCTGCTTAGTGGCTACTTGTTTTTGCCGTATGCCACGAGCTCATAATGGGTTACTCAACTTATAAGACTTGAATAGTTTTATTGTCTGCACTTGTTCTTCGTTACCCTTGGCCTTGTTGTCTGTCTGTTAATAAAATGGGTCTAGATGAGTCATATACTGTTATCATTTATTGACCATCTGATTGTTGGATTGAGAGGTTTAGACACAGTTGGACTGTACTACTGGTACTACTCACAAAATGCATGCGTGAATTCTAGCATGCTGAAACGATTGCATGAGCATCATTCAAGTAATTAAAGCTTCTTTGTGGTGTCACATCTGTTTTTGGGTTGCTCTGACTGATGGGTCAAAACACTTGAGTTTGTTTATTACAATCACTGCTGTCGGAAGAAAACCTCATATCTCATCATAACATTATTTGAAAATGCATGTTCTCCTGTACATTTTGTGTAAATTTCATGATGAATGGGCCAAAAGAAATGACCCAAAATGACTTGGAAACAGAAGTCTGGTTCCATTGCCTTACATTAAGGGTAGAGGGTGTCTTTTTTCCTTCTCCTGAAAAGATACCATTTTGGAGATACAAGGTGTTGTTCCGATAACAGCGAAATGTTTGGATTTGACAGTTTTCGGGTTGGGATCTCATTAAAAATTTCACAAAAGTGCTTAAAGAGAGCCTTTTAAGCATCACTTTGAACTGAATGCAGTGGCTGTAGGAGCTGTTTGGGTAGGAAGTGTCAGTGTGTCTTTTGGGTGACTGATCTGACCTATAGCGACCATCTTTTCTCTGTACTCAAACAGTTACCTCTTTTGTAGAGATGGTACGATCCCACCTTTAAGTTCTGATATTGATACTGAAACCTTGAGTATTGACTGATACAAATCCAATATCTTCTCTTTAAAAGCCGCCAAGCTTAAAAATTAGCACTTCACTCAAGATGAGCATCTAAAAGAAAGCTCAAATAACTCAAATTCGGACATAGTCAATAGCTAGTGGCATGGCACAATGTGAGCATGTGGTATTCCAGGCTATATTTGTTGGAAGATTGGATCATTTTTTCCATCTAATATCCAATCCAGTGTTTTCTGCTGATATCAGCCCAATATCAATATCCCAGGGGTCCCAAACTCCAGTCCCAGGGGGCTGGTGTACTACACAGTTTGGTGATTTCCCTGTTCAAACACACATATTAAACCTGGTAAGTTGAATCTGGTGTGTTTGAGCAGGGAAATCGCCAAACCATGCTGGATTTGGCCCACCAGGGCCAGCTTTCGAGACCCCTGTGATACCCAGTATCGAATCTAAGCCATCCCTGTTTTGATTATTAACTGAAAGGAGAGAATTTCCTGTATTAGAGAAACACACTCTTATAACTACATTACTTCTAAATCAAGCCAAACCAGGCCTCTTTTACTCTATGATGTTATGAGGGTCATCTGTGAGAGGTCTGTTTAATTCCATTAAACCTGCATACAGTGAAAGATGTTGCAAATGGAGAAAAGTGGTATTAAATTGAAGAATTGGACGCTGGTCCGTCTTATGAAGGAACTTCTAGAAGGATTTCTAGAAGACATAGAAAATGGCACAAAGACCAGCGAACCTTCTGAATGCCAAACAGGACATGTTGAAACACGTCCTGCCCATTTGCCCCTCCACTGCTTTTTTGTCCATTGAGTACGCCGAAGCCTCTGCATAATTCATGAACCCCCACACTTCTCCCAAAACGACCCCCTTCTCCCAACGTAAGTGGCTGTAAAAGGGGAGAAAAATAATTTGTAAGCCCCATTGAGAGCTTCAGAACCCCCCTCCCTTCCTCTCTTTTCTTTATTCTCTTTTGTCACAGTTCAGTTCATGGTTTGGAAATGAAGAGTTGTGTGTGTATGTTTTTGGGGGGGGGTCCTGTGAGGGGATCGTTCAGGCTTTTGTATGTCAGCTGTTAGAGGTTTGGACTAAGTAGCATAAAAACCCCCCGAGCAGAATAAAAACAAACTTTTACCAGAAGCAACACCTCTTGAATATGCCGCTTGCTGCAGAGAATATTAAATCCGCCGTGTGGTTATTACGAAGCGCCAAAAATGATTATAGGCTGTTCTAGTGGTTAACTAAATTCCTACATGAATACAGATCCTGTTTAATTTCTCAGACGGGTTATGGTAATGCTTGTGGCTTTATGATTTATGAAGCACCCGGTTCGCTTTATTTTGAAACTCTAAGTTTCACATGGAAACTCCTACTTACGATGGAAGTTTCTGTTCTGTTCTTTGCTCAAGTGAGACCTAAGGCCTTTGTCAGGCAGGGCATTGTTTTACATAAATTCAGTTACACTTGGGCTCCTTGGTAGAGGCAGGTGAATCATTAACCTAGATGGCAGGAGAACATTGCCTTCAAGGGGTAATGTTCTCGTAAGTCGTGTCATTAGATTTTCTTGCATGAAAATCAAATCACCCGGAAAAAGGAAGCTTTCTTAAAGTTTTGAGGGGAATGGGTTACAGGGCTAGGTTCACCTTGCGCTTGAGCTGGCATTGGTCTTTCATATCTTATCAGGATAACCCTGCTGTATGTGATCGACATTGCACCTTGTCTTCTCTGGAATGGAAAAACATGCTTGTTATCACCATTTAGGCCACAAATGAATAGCCACTTCCTCCTAAAGCATATCTTGAGGTACGTTGAGACTCTTGAAACTGTTATGAACATTTACACTGCACTGCATTCATGGCAGGCATGCTAGCTTTGGCAGTGTGAGCAGATGCCACATGAACCACATTAAGTCTTGAATTTCCAGAGATTTCGAAGGTTAGGACATACCTACTGACTGGGTTACAGATTAGCTAGATCAGACGGTTTATGGGTGACAATGAAGCAATCTGTGCATGGATGCTTCTCTTGTTTGAATTCCTCAGGATACTGAATCATGTCAGTTATTAACTTTGCAAAGATATGATGCCCCATATGAGGATATGATGAACACTGAAACTGAATACAAGGTCAGAGATCTGTAAACACTTCCAGGAATTCCAGTATTGGCCCAGTTAATTGTGTTCAGGAGAATTTGTGTCTTGCCATCACAGAAGGTTAATGTGTTTATGTCTTCTTAAGACAATAGTCTTTGTGCCTTATTAATGGTTGCGGTGGCTGTCTGAAGTATTGCGACTGTCATCTTTGGTTTAATTTGTTGGTTTGGTGATGCAGAATATGCAAGACACTCCTGCCCAACTGTAAATTAGCAGCACAAACAGAACACATGCGAAAGCTTTCCTTGGAATCAAAGATTGTATTAGTTTGAATAGATTTGTTTATTGTTCAAGGCAATCTTTCATCTTGAGATGAATTTAATTGCATGCCAGGAGCAATTGCAAGCCAATATATTTTGGCTACTGTAAATTGGACCTGGAGCTTGACCAAGGTTGTCTCTTTTAGGCCTTCTGTGTGCTTGTGAGTTGCCCAGCATTATTCCTGGCAAAAAAGGTTCTATATAATGCCGAAGAAGGTTCTATGACGAGTTGCACCAATACAAGAACCAATACAACACGTTCTTCATTGTGGAAAAGGACCACTTAACCATACAATAAAACCATTTATGCATTCAGATGGTTCTTCAAGTTGTCATAGTTTTAAATATAACCATTGCCTTTCATAAAGAACCTTTGAGCAACAACTTAAATGGAGTAGGTGCCACAGAATATGACATTATGTATGTGCAGCCTCCAGTGAAGTTTAGCAACTCATGTGAGAGTCACAGGAGACTCGGAGGCTGCATTAGCCTCATTGTTGGTAGCCTCACAAGCCAGATAGTCTGGTGCATTTTGTCATGGCAGAGAATCGCTTACTTTGACAGTAAAGGGCCATGTGACTTAAAATAACCACCCACTGACTATAGTTTTTGTGTGATGTGTAGGGACAGTTTGCAAAATAGTGCTACAACTAAAACACACCCAGAGGAAAGTGGTATGTGCTGAAAATCATGCAAAAATATATGTTGCTAGCTTCTAGTGGTTTTAAGGAAAACTGTGAAATACGAAGATATGATACCATGAACGCCACATGTTTTTCAGTCCAGCTGCTACTTCTTGTTAGAGACTCCATCTACTACTACAACTACTACTGATCTCACACTCAGGCAAGCACACCACACTATACCAATAATTGTCCTTGGACAGGATTCCTAATTAGACCTGTGCCTGGCGACATTTAACCAGGGTACCGCAGTAACAGACTTTAAAAACTAATTTATGCCCGGGTCATTTATTGATTTATTTCATGCAAACTACAGCAAGGCAGCGATATTCCCATAAGTACACAACTGAA